GAGGATACCCTAAGATAATTTTTTTGTGACTCACGGATTGGTCCAGGCTATAACTGTACTCGATTTCTTATAGATGCAATGCAGTTGAATATTTTGATTCCAAAAAAACAAAGGGAAAAATGCTTCCAGCCCCCAAAAGTCAAGAGAACGTGTTTCTACCCTCAAGACTTTGTCAACGGGTGTTTTACCCCCAAAAATAAAGATTCTGTTCTCTGAGCCCCAAAACACAAAACCCAAGAGATTAAAATATGTGAAGACCATAATACCCTTCTCTCTCTTTCTTTTTTTATTAAAATATGATGAGGATTATTTTATTATTTTCGTTTTCTCTCTCTCTTTATCATGATGTACTGAGATGATAGTTAAAATGATTGATGATGATTATTTTATTATTTTTATTTTTTATTATTTTCGTTATTTGTATTGGGAGATTGTTAAAATTACGGGTTAATTGTTAATGTTACGAGTTAATTGTTAATGTTACGTGTCAATTGTTAAGGTTATGGATCCTCTCTCTCACTCTCTTTCTATCATGATGTTACTTTGATGATATTGAAATAATTAAGATTATTTTATTATTTTCGGTTTTTATTCTTTTCGTATTTTTAGAATATTCGTTGTTAAGGATAATGGTTGGCTGTAAAGGTTATACATTGATTGTTAAGGTTACGGGTTGGTTGTTAATGTTACGGGTTTGTTGTTAAGGTTATGGGTTTGTTGTGTAGGTTACGGATTTGTTGTTAAGGTTACGAGTTTAATTGCTAAGGTTACGGGTTTAATTGTTAAGGTTACGGGTTTAATTGTTAAGGTTACGGGTTTAATTATTACAGTTACGGTTTAATTATTAAGGTTATGGTTTAATTGTTAAGATTATGGGTTTAATTGTTAAGGTTACGGGTTTAATTGTTAAGGTTACGGGTTTAATTATTAAGATTACAGGTTTAATTGTTACGGTTACGTGTTTAATTGTTAAGGTTACGGTTTAATTGTTAAGGTTACGGGTTTAATTGTTAAGGTTACGGTTTAATTGTTAAGGTTACGGTTTAATTGTTAATGTTACGGTTTAATTGTTAATGTTACGGTTTAATTGTTAAGGTTACGGTTTAATTGTTAAGGTTACGGATTTAATTGTTAAGGTTACAGATTTAATTGTTAAGGTTACGGTTTAATTGTTAAGGTTACGGGTCAATTGTTAAGGTTACGGGTCAATTGTTAAGGTTACGGGTTTAATTATTAAGGTTACGAGTTTGATTATTAAGGTTACGGGTTTAATTGTTAAGGTTATGGGTCAATTGTTAAGGTTACGGGTTTAATTGTTAAGGTTACGGGTCAATTGTTAAGGTTATGGATCCTTTCTCTCTCGCGCGTAACCTTAACAATTAAACACGTAACCTTAACAATTAAACACGTAACCTTAACAATTAAACCCGTAACCTTAACAATTAACCCGTAACCTACACAACAAACTCATAACCTTAACAACTAACTCGTAACCTTCACAACCAATGCATAACCTTTACAACTGTAACATTCACAACCAATGCATAATAATTAAACCCGTAATCTTAACAATTAAACCCGTAACATTCAGTTAACAAGACGTATGATTTTTAACGGTAATTAAACCGCCCTATCGAGTTGAAAATTTGAAAATATTAGTTCCCAAGTAGCTTCCGAGTAAAAAAAACACGTGGCGAATAGGGGATAATAGGATTTGAATTTTCGAAGCTAGCTTACATGAGAGCATCCATGGCCATCAAAGACTCCGAAGAAGTGAAACTTCCCAGTGACTGTCGAGCTTCCCTCGACAAAATCGGGTCGGATTGAGACGGCGTCCTCCATGTCCCGTCTCCTCCCACAGACCGACGTCAACCCGTAACCTTAAAAAAAGATTACGAGTTAATTGTTTGTAACATTCACAACCAATGTATAACCTTTACAACCAACCAACCCGTAACATTCACAACCAATGCATAACCTTTACAACAACCATTATCCTTAACAATTAACAATTAAACCCGTAACCTTAACAATTAAACCCGTAACCTTAACAATAAATCCGTAACTTACATAACAAACCCATAACATTAACAACAAACACGTAACCTTAACAACCAACCTGTAACCTTAACAATCAATGCATAACCTTTACAACCAACCATTATCCCTAACAATGAATATTCTAAAAATACGAAAAGAATAAAAAACAAAAATAATAAAATAATAATCCTCTTCAATCATTTTAATATCATCAAAGTAACATCATGATAGAGAGAGAGAGAGGATCAATAACCTTAACAATTGACCCGTAATATTAACAATTAACTCGTAACCTTAACAATTAACCCGTAACTTTAATAACAATTGACCCGTAATATTAACAATTAACTCGTAACCTTAACAATTAACCCGTAACTTTAACAATCTCCCAATACAAACAACGAAAATAATAAAAAACAAAAATAATAAAATAATCTTCATCAATCATTTTAACTATCATCTCAATACATCATGATAAAAAGAGAGAGAAAACAAAAATAATAAAATAATCATCATCATATTTTAATAAAAAAAGAAAGAGAGAGAGAATGGTATTATGATCTTCACATATTTTAATCTCTTGGGTTTTGTGTTTTGGGGGCTCAAAGAACAGAATCTTTATTTTTGGGAGTAAAACACATGTTGACAAAGTCTTAGGGGTGAGAAGCACGTTCTCTTAGCTTTTGGGGGCTAGAAGCATTTTTCCCAAAAACAAATAAGGACCTTCTTGTGCTATCCTGGTGCAAGTGTCTCTTATGTATCAATATAAATGTTTCTTCAAATAATTTTTCTTTTATTGGCAAAAAGATTTATTTATTTTCCTTTCTGTTTTCAAGCTTAAATAAGTCATTATACATATGGTAACAACTAACAACATATGAAACCGATAATTCTCATTTTTTCCCCCCTTTAAAAAAAAGGCATGGTTAGAATAAACTAGAGGTTTTCTAAAGCTCAAGGAGCCAATCCCCAGCATCCCCAATAACTTTACTTCAAAACAAGAGAATCAGCAATATGCACATGTTAGCCCCCCTTGCAACTCCAGAAAATTCCACAAAAGCTCAATATGATTTACGGCTGGACCACCAGGAAAACAACAGAGCAATCAACTTATAGAAAAGATAAGGTAGGGTACAGAGCTCAAAACATAAGACGGAAAGAAAACAAACAACCTGAGCAAGATGGCAGATAAGCATCGAGATCTTCGTACCTAAACCCCAAAAGCAAACCCTTCTAACATTTGGGTCCCCTGTTATCCTCTGAAAGTATCCCCTTCCACCTTTACTCATCTACATCCCAGATTCTTGCCTTTTGCTCCGTGAATTATAGGTAGAGCCCAAAAGAAAATAAACATTTATAAAAAGTTATGCAAGTTGCTAAGTCGCTTCTTAACCTAGATGTCATCAACTACGATTATAAGCATAGTTTTCTTAGCGGATATTGACTAATTAAAAAATTAGAACCCTCGATTCCTTGCAACTTCAGAAATCGATAAAAGCAAAGGGACTTTAACATAGCATCGAAACAATCCATGTTCAAGTCCCCACCAGGCACGCATTTAAAAGTATATGCTACTACATAAAATAGATCAGGTTTTGCTTTAGCTCATTAAAGGTACGCTCGATCTGCAAGGAAATGTAAACTTATAAAATTATAACACTAAATCCTCACTACAACTTCGAAGATTTTAAGGCTATGTATTGCCTATGGTGAGGCAAAAATCGTCCGGGATAGTCTGAATCAAACAGAATTTGATCGGGATGCGTGGAAGCAACGTTTTAGATGCCGGCCTTAATCGAGCCAAATAAAAGAAATTGATTAGTTAAACCTCCTCAAACAAGATCAACATATCCAGGATAAGCAAATCAGCAGAAATGAAGAGGGGAGTGGGATATTGAGATATATATCATATACCCATTAAGGCAACTATAAAAGTGTGGTTGGCAAAGGTCCCCTTCAAATGTCAAAAGGTTTTCGCGTGGCTCATGTGAACGATGTTATGGTAACCAAATCAAACTTCTCATATGGCATCGTGACATGAAGGAAGATTCGCAAATAGTGATCATTCTTGGCAGTACAAATTAGTCTAAGTGACATATTAATGAAGAACTTACGGTTTAATCCTGGCTTTGCAATTTGTATGTTGCTGGGATATGGTTCACTTTCACCTTTGCCTCTTAAAATAGAAAAGGAGATGGATTAGAAAAGAGTAGTTTGACAAGCAGTCCTCTATCATTTGGTGCCAAATTCTCGACCAAGTTAACTAACAGCAAGAGGAAAAATGAAATGGCATTTGTCAAAGAACATCAAGATCCTAGTGACACGAGCAGGGATAAAGTTTTTTGATGGTTCATATCTTACAACGCTGAAGTTCATGTTACAAGAGGCAAGTATAACTCTTAAATTTAGTTCCTCTAACCATTAGACCAAAACTCCGAAGTTTTGATGAGGATCAAGGATTATAGTTTTATATTAATTCTAACATGCCTCCGCAGGTCGAGCGCCCTTGTTTATGGGTCGAAACCTTGACTCACGTAACGGTGTCAATTTTTAGAAAATTCGCATTTAATTCGTGGCCGGTGAGATTTGAACCTGGGTTGCTCTGATATCATCTTAAATTTAGTTCCTCTAACCATTACACCAAAACTCCGGGGATCAATGATTATAGTTTTATATTAATTCTAACAATAACATGGCATTAAATTGTGTTTTTCGCCCCCTTCTCCTTGTAATGGCGATAGCCTCCATCCTTCCCGCATTAATAAGAAAGAAAAATCCTCCATGTATTGAATAATATGTAATATCTTCTTGTGAAAACTGAGCTGACTGGTTTCTCCGGGCACCAATTGGTCTTAAATGTATTATCATAAATTCATCTTTCCCCAAGAGTAAATTTGGGAAGGTTCCATATAAAATGGGCAGCCTAAACTAATGAAAAAAAAAATGATACTATGTTGAGATTCACAAATTTGAGTTTCTTTTTCAAAATGTACCTTTTTCTAGTGATTTCCACGAGCAAAGATACCAAGTGCCAAGCATCCAGCTTTCAATTTTCTTTTTCCCCCTCCTTTGGGTTAACATCAACGATATCAGACTCAAGGGTGAAAGAGTAACACAGCAATTACATCACAGCGATGAAATAAACCACCTATTATTTATAATTTCCAATTCATCAAAAGATACATCAACTGACACTTACCACACAGAATTCTTCAAAGAGGTCTGACTCTCTTCATGCCAGACTTGCCGTCAGATGATCTGAGCGAAGAATCTCCATCAGAAGAACTCTCCATGGATCTGCAGAACGAAGAGGAAAGATCTGCGTAAAGAGCAACAACCCTCCTGATATTGCCATTGAGCTCCCGGATTAAACCAACGTTGCGGCTGAGGTTGTCGGGGATCTTAGACTCATGGTTCTGGTTGATCTCATTGATGAGTAGCCTGTTTTGATCTAGAATGCTCTGAACTTGAACAAAGCTCTTCTGAAAGCTTTGGAGGAGCTTAGCGTTAACTTGGGTTGTGCCATCGTTAAGACTCCCTCCTTCCATCTCTCTGTTCCTCAGATTTTGCAACTTCTCAGTCAGAACTAAAGCCAGTCCTGCGGATAACTAACAAAAGAGAGATTGGTATCGAGAAAAGAGAGAGTTTGTTTGTTTGACCTAATGAAGGCTCAGTCGGGGCAAAGACAAGATCAGGAAAAACAGGGAATTTGGCTAAAATTTGAGATGATTGAGGAGCAGCATTGCTTGAATCAAGAACATTGAGATAGACTTTACAAAATTGCAACTTTAGGGGTACTAATTAATCTACAAATAACTAAAACATCAGAAGATGTTATAAAAGAGGAGCCCAGTTGGTAAATTGTTAACAAGAGTCAATAATTTACACAGATTTCGGAAAAACATAGAGCCTGACTAGTTTATTTAAGCAACCTAAAATAGCGGAAAATCGAGTAAATTAAATTTAAGAGAAAAAGTTACATAAAGATTTTCCCCTGGCTATTGTACAGAAAGAATCACATACCCACAAGAAGAAGGGGAGGGGGATCCCTGAATTAGCACCAAAGGATTCAATGGATAAAATAGCGAGCAGAATGTAGTAGAAAAGACGCAAAATATAAACCCTTTGATAGAAAAATCTGTAGCGAATCTAGATGTGTACAGTGAACAAAAGGAGCTTTTTATTCTGGTTGGATTGTTGTCAAGTACAAGGGGAAATCCCATAGAAGATTTCCTGACACGGGAGAACAAAAAAATAACAAAAAAAAAATTTTTGCAGAGGAAACAACAAATATCAAAGTTTGATGCAAAAGTTACGAAAATAGTGATAAGTAGCAACTACCCATTTCGAGAAAGAGATCAGAAAATCAACAGTAATTCTGGGATATTCTATTAACAACAAATTCCAGAATAAAAGTAGAATTTTAGAGCTGACAATTGTTTGTCAATCTCTTACCTTGGAAATCTGTAACATTTCTGTGAAGCCGAGTAAATAGAGATTTAGATAGAGAGCGAAAGAGAGAGAGAGAGAGAGGATTGATTTCGTATCGGCGAGATAATCGAATCAGAAAGAAAGGTACTTTGACACAAATATATACACGAGAGAGAGTGTGTGTGTGTGTGAGGTCACTACGGGTCCTTGTTTTTCGTGTGTTTTGGTAACCTGAGTAATTTTAAGACATCTCTCACCGAAACCCTTTGGCGAACCTTGACTTTTCGTCTCTTTTGAGATCACAGATAAACATTTGGCTCTCTTCCTTTTTTTTTTGTTTTTTTTTTTTTTTTTTTTTTTTGATTTAGTTTATGGCTATTGACCATGTGACAATCAAATCTATCGTATCTGTAGATTTACTTAAATCAGCACATTTCTAATCTAAACTTGTACTGTTTCGTGTTGGATTGTGGGGTAAATTTGAAAATGTCTAGCTTTTAGAGGCAAATCGGCATATATATGATAGTTTGGAGGGCGTATACATGAAAAAGAGAGGAGGGCGTTCTTGTCATTTAAATCCTTTTAATTTGGAATTTAATAGGGAGATTAGATGTGCATTTTAACTCAACATCAACAAGTGTAATGATTGATTTATCAAATTTTCAGATTTCGTGAGGGTAAACCTAGAAATGAAGTAAATGGGTTTGACCTGATTTATGACATTAAATGTGTGTCAAACCGAATATCAACACTTGAATTCACGCGCGGATCTCGAAATTTAATATTCTCGTAAAACAATTAGTGAACTTACAATAAAGCTAGACATAAAAGTGTCTCAAGTTTCCCCCACTTGGATCAAATTCCAAACCCATTTATTTCGACAAAAAATTATAATTCAATATTTGCAGTTATGACTTTTGATTATACCCTTAGAGCATCTCCAACAGCTTCCCCATCTTCTTGAAATACTCAAATTTGGAGAATATAGAGCTTTTTTTTGGTCCAACAGATTCCTCATCTCATTCCTCAAAATAGGGAAGGAGGAGAAAAAATAGGGAGCCTTCCCCAAATCTGCAGCATTCTCCAAATTTTTTGGGGAGAGCTTTATTATTGTAATAAATGCGATTTTTCAAAATGGAGAAGCTGTTGGAGTTGGAACAAAAATAATTTGGAGAATATGACTTTTGTTTCTCCATTTTGGAGAAAATTTTGGGGAAGCTGTTGGAGATGCTCTTAGTACTAGTAATTTAATAGACAAGAGTAGTAACTGATAAAGAGGGAATTAGACACCCATAATAAACCATTGTCAGCCTAAGCCTCCCAGTCAAACTGCAAAAAATGTTGCCATATCACTTGTCACCCTCAATGATTAACTTAGTTTTCAAATGATAACATAGTATATATGTAATTATTTCTTTTACTAAAAGAAAATCTCTCTATCCTCATCTATCCTTTTACCTTATTGTAAGACCAATCCAATTGACTGCAATCTCAACTATAATTTATTAATTGGATTATTTAAGTTTAGGCTAGATCTGATGATGCACCCAAATAGGTAGAAAAAAGTCTCCAGTTGTGTTCCTTTATGTGCGAGATGATCTCTTCTGTTTTTACAGCTGAAGAGCATATGATTCAATCTTAATCGAGACTTGTAACAGGGCCGGCTGAAGGCATAGGCCACTAAGGCATATGCCTAGGGCCCCCATTTTATTGGGGCCCTCATATAAAAAAAGTCTCCAGTTGTGTTCCTTTATGTGCGAGATGATCTCTTCTGTTTTTACAGCTGAAGAGCATATGATTCAATCTTAATCGAGACTTGTAACAGGGCCGGCTGAAGGCATAGGCCACTAAGGCATATGCCTAGGGCCCCCATTTTATTGGGGCCCTCATATA